TAAGATTTTGGCCAAATGTATTAAACGAGAGAAACTGAGTGCCCATATAGATACAATAAACGTTATAATCTGCAAACTGATGAAAACGTGATGCTATTGTTTTACTGCCTCAGATGCGGCCGTTCTAATGGACAAAACACATATATCTGTCATTCAGTCGTCAAAAACCTTTTCAGAAATTAAGTGCAAGTGTCTGCCCATATATAAAGTCAAAATACCAATTCTGATTACGGAATGTTTAATTATTGAAATTATTATTATTATTATTTAAATATGCTTAGTGGTGTGCCGTGGGATTTTTTACATATCAAAACTGCCGTGGCAAAAAAAGGTTGGGAAACACTGATCTAGTGGAATAAAGTAGTAAGACTTGAAAGGATAATTCACCCAAAAATGAAAATTCTGTAATTAATTATCCACCCTCATGTCATTCCAAATCCGTAAGATCTTTGTTTATCTTCAAAACACAAATTAAGATATTTTTAATGAAATCCGAGAGCTTTCTGACCCTGCATAGACAGCAACATGACTACCACATTCAAGGCCTAGAAGGGTAGTAAAGACATCGTTAAAATAGTCCATGTGACATCAGTGTTTCAACCGTAATTTTATGAAGCTACGAGAATACTTTTTGTGCGCATGCATGAGTCGTGGTACTCTAACGAACGTGTGGTGGAGATTGACACGGAAGAGAGGAAATTGTTGAATAAAGTTATTTTTGTTTTCTTTAAGCACAAACAGTATTCTCATAGCTTCAAACCATTACGGTTGAACCACTGATGTCACATGGACTGTTTTGACAATGTCCTTACTACTTTTCTGGGCTTCGTGGTAGTTGCGTTGCTGTCTATGCAGGGTCAGAAAACTCGGATTTCGTCAAAAATAGTCTTACAGGTTTGGAACGACATGAGTGGTTTAATTAATTGCAGAATTTTCATTTTGGGTGAACTATCCCTTTAAAGAGAGAGCTTTTTGGAGTAACAACACATCCAGTGTGTCAGTTTTTGGCCATGTTAGTACAGCAATTAGCTCTAGTTACAACTTGATTTTGAAATGTTTTCCCCTTTGCACTCAGTATAGTACTGACTGTAGGTGCTCATAGCAGGAATATCACGATGCATTGTAGAATATAATGCATTACAGAAATCATACTTATAGGGCTAAATTTATGTATACGTAGTGAGAATCAAGGTAGGATGTACTGAAAATAAAATTAATGATATTTAATAAAAAATAATTATAAAATAAATTGGTATTCATTTGCAGGGCCACACGTTCATCAAGCGGGCCGAGGTTGAGGAGGTGGATTTCACTGGATGGTTGTGTAAAACCATGGGCCTTCACCAGCCCAGCACACCCACTCATAGTGTTGAATGAACGCTGGCTCACATGCCATACTCATCCTCTGCTCTACTTCTCTCCTTTTTGCTCTCACAGACCTGTATGCTTGTAAGCCTCTGACACACCGCTGTGCGCTCTTTTGCCGTTCTCTGCTTGCTCTTCCCTTCCACCGCGGTGCGTTCTGGGGCATTGTTTTTTAAGAGCTGGTGTTGGAACAGTCATTTGAATGAATATGGAGATTAGAGTCACTTAAGTGGAGTGGCTGTATTTGTAACAACCACATTATTCAGGAATGTCCAAATTGGTAAAGATCAGCTAGGTTTTGTTTGTATAAAAGCTATTTCATTAGAATTATGATGGTTTTGTTTACTTTTCATGGTCGGTTTATCAAATCATTATATTATGTTTTTTTTTGTTTTTTTTTGGCTAAAGCACTATTCTTTGGCAGTTAGCGTTACACTGTGTTAAAATGGATAGCTTGGTTCAAAGGCAAACATTTAATTGAGAATCAACTGGCGTTTGCATAAAAAAACCCCCAAAGAGGGCTACTGTGTATCATAAAGGCTAGTTTATTTCAAAGATGATTATAAATGCAAGATGGCCAAATCAGCAATGCTGAAGTGCATACGTACAGTTGTTTAGCTTGTGCATTGCAGGTAGCACTGCTAGTACACGGCGAAGTACTCCATCATGTCAACCAATGGCCATGCTGCAAGTTTGCACACATTAGCAAAAAGAAACATAAGCTTAATTAGAGTTCCTGTATCAGATGCCCTTTGTCATACTGCTGTGCCTGTGAAAAAGATCAGTCATTTAATATTCAGAAATCTATACTGTTTTTTGGGGGGGAGGGGGGTTAAGTTTTCAACTTAAAATCATCTTCAGAAGGGTATATTTGGGAAGAGTTATTGTTTATAACTTATGCTTCAGTGTTCTTTTTTTATTTTTTATTTGAAACCTAAAATTTCTTGCTTTTGATTTCAAGTTTGAATACAACCAGGGTTGCATCTATCTTTACAGTGCTTTTACAATATGCCCGATGAATTTAAACGCATCAAAATTATTTCAACCAAGACCACAACAGGTACACTCATAGTCTGGTCTTCAGTGGTATATAAAGTGCAAAGTAACATCTCAGGCCACCATGTACAGTGCTATGCAGATCAAATGAACCGCAGCAGATATTGCTGTATTAGTAGGTCTTATAAATACACGGGTGTTACAGATGGGCATTGTGAAGTGTGGCTAAAGCCCACTTGCTCTAAATAGCTTTTTTTTTCTCTTTCTCTAGTACTTTTCAGTAACATTGAAACTGTATTACACACTGGCATTCAGCTCCGACCAAGTGAATGCATGTATCGCCACACATGTGTATAAAATATATGTACAGTACAAATGGTACTGTTCTCAGTCTTAAAATAGCATTGTATTTTATTGTTTTTTTGTTGTTTGTTTTGGGAATGAAGAGGATATAAGTCATTTTATTACCATATGGAATGTGTTGAATACAGTTCTAATATAAAAATAAAACTTATTTGTGAATGATTATTTGGCTGTAGTTGTTGTCAGTCTCAATGTTTTGGATAATGTTTAAAGATTTTATTGCAGTGTACTATATTTAATGTGAATTGTTAAAGAATAAGAGTGAACATTTTCATTACATAATTTGAAATATAAGGCATATATTAGAAATATAGATAGCTAGAAAAAACATGTGATTTGCAATATAGCTGTTAATTTCTGGTATATTTTTGCATGGCTGTGATAACAACCAGTACTGGAAGATGCATATTATAAAATGGTTTATTAATTATATATAATGTATTATAATTTTTTTCAATCTAAATTAAGTAAACGGTAATACAGCTAACATACTTTTGTACATGTAAAATTGTGGCATGTTTTGAAAACGTAAAAAAAAAGTAGATAACCATTTAGCCAATGCTTTTTGTCAGTTTTAAGTGTCCCAGTTATACTGCCCTCTGTGTCTGGTGTGCGTTAGTTCATCATGCTTTTCTCCTACTTAATACTTCAGCATTTAAGCACAACTCAGTGTCATACACAATTACGCTCCTCTGCGTCCACTCCCTGTTTTACGGGAGAGTCTTCAATTGTACAGTCACTCTTAGAGAGGTCATATACTGCTCCTCCTATTTTTGAGAACTTTCAGTCCAGCAGCAGGTAAGCGGGCGAACGGGTCTCTTAAGTGGTGGAGGATAATCCTTGTCTGTCCCGCTGGTCGACTGCACACATCGCTTCTTTCAGCATGATTTTGGTGAGTATGGAGAATCACAGTACACATTTAGTTGTTTGGTTATTTTTAATTACTGTTTGTAGTGTTTTGGAGGGTTCGGTTGTTACATGTAAAGAAAGACGTGTCAAAAAGGTGAAGCAGTAAGTGAATAGTGTCACTTCTATCCGACGACCCCTTGAGTGCAGGGTACACTATGAGCTGTATTAGTTTGAGACAGTGGAGGGTGTGTGTAGATGTATTGAGTGGTGGTGGTGGTGGGGGGGCTGCTGGCAGACCCTGAGTGTCCTGGAATGTGCCATGGCTTGTTCTGGGGTGGGACTCCATGACCTCAGGCAATGGGATGGGTGGGTGCGACTGCATTCGCACACATGGGAGAATAAAGGACGGTTAATTCTCATTATTTTGGAACACGAGCTCACCTAAAGTACACGTGCAACACCCCTGCAAACTACTTTATACAAATACAGGCCGGTTTTACCAGCGATATCCTTGTGAACCTTGTGTTGTGTTCATGTCATGAGTGATGGTGGCCACTATGGCATGATAACAACCTTTTACTGTATTCCCCAGAGAGGAGCAGAGGAGAACAGCATGGGGGAATGCTGTTTCTTTAAGAGAGAGGGAGAGAGAGCGAAAGGGAGGGACCTTTTTGCCCTCCAGAAACCAGGAAGGGAATTGAGTTGATCTGCTGGTGCTTGGTTAGCGCATACAGAGCTTTGAACAGCAGGGACAGCTAAGAGAGAGAGAGAGCTCCACAGAGGAGGAGGGAAGAGCTAACCCATAGCAAGCACCGCCACGGCCATCGCAGGTGAGCTCGTTTCCCCTGCTTGTCCCCCGTGTCATCTGCCCAAGGCCTATCGACTGAAGGTAGCAAGGCTGAGGAGGAAGGAATGAGGGAGGAGGAGAGAGAGCGAGTATGTGTGTGGGGGGTAGGAGAGGGCTCCAGTGAGGAATTATTCCTCCTTTTCTTTGGTCTTCCGAGTAACTGATTTGGTACACCTTTGGTTCACTGGCATTGCTTTAATAAACTTTTTTTTTTGTTCTTACGGTTAACTTTTTTGTTGTTGTTTTGGAGACAGCCCTTAAGGGGTGTGTTTGTCGGAGGTTAGACGAGGAGAATATAGTAGGAAGGAACCAAAAATAATTCCATAGGACAAGGTACAATGCTATGCACTGGGGTCTGCTTTTTTTAAAACCTTTGTTATCATTCATTAAGAAACAAACTGATAACTTGTGCATGCACCTTTGGCTTTTTTCTTCCAGTCTCAAATTGCATTTACACTGTTTACTGTTATGATGGAATATTTTAGGTATATAAAAAAGTCTCATTTGGGTCAAGAATGCTGAATATGTCAGATGATGTAGGGTGACAATATAAATTTATTGTATTAAAGTTCTACAGAGTTGTGTTAGGATCCCTTTGCCTTTTCTCATACATACAGCGCTTGACACTGCTTGTTGGCTGGTCTGTACTTTTAATACCTGGCATCCTGCTAGCAACACACGGTAGTGTATAATTCAGCTCTGAATGCTTACGTTGAAGCAAGCTCTTAGATGTGGGGGTGGCAAGAGCAAACAGTTTGGGACTTGTAGTTCTTAGCAGTGGCCTAGAAGCAGGTGAAGTCATACTTAAGGACTGCGCTTCCCAGAGTGCCTTGCCCTTGGCCATACAGGAAAGGGAACAGCCGGTAGCCTATCCTAGTGGGGAGGTGTGGTGATTGAGGAGCGGGAAAGCCAATCGCAGAGGGGGAAGTGAAGCCAGAGCAGTGGGCTGAAAATAGAGTGGGGGAGTTAGTAGGTGGCTGCCTGTGTGGGATCAGGCAAGGGCTTGCCTGTGTAACTAGGGCCACTCTGAAGTTTCCTGTCTGCAGTTTCTCCAGACCAGAGCCCTGCCCAGGCACAGAGGCAGGCAGAGGGAGACTGAGCTGACCCACAGGGAAACAAAATTCTGGCCAGCCGGTAAGAGCTCCAAATGCACTCTCACTCTCTCTGGTGTCTGAGACGGGAAAGGCAAGCTAGAAGAGAAATAATGGAATCTTAAAAGGGGAAAGAGAGGGACTTGGCTTGATTAAGTTCAGAGTGCTTGACCCACTTGCAGATGGCATAGAGATGGAAAACGGAGGCCTGCTGTATTAAGGTATGACTTTGTGAGATTCTGTGCAGCGAGTTTCCAAGTACTTTCTTAATTAACTGAACTCTGTCTTGGTTGTGATTCTTATTTTTATCTGATCTGACTGTTACAAATTGCCATTTAATAAAATAAGATAAATAATAATAATATATTTTCAAGAAGATTGATTTAATTTTAGTCACAAAAGGTTGGGTTTAACTGGTGGACTCACATAAAAAAAAATTTAAATTCACATCAAAGACATCCTGCTCATTGAGATCTCTAAGAACCTTAGACTTTGGAAAGTTTTTCCGCTTCTGTTGGCAGATCCCTTGTAGGCTTCTCTGCCCCCTCATTCTTTTTATAGCTGTTCCATAATGCACATCAACATCTTCTCCTTTGGTAAGGGTCTTTAACAGGGTCTCATGACTTGTCAAATAAGAAGACTGCATGTTTGTCCTGGACACAAAGGCGTTGCAGGAAGCTGCAGTCTCTTTCGCTCTCTCTTTTTTTTATTCAAAGATGTATGCAGATCATTTCCAACCCATACTTGCTCGACTCGTTTTCACTAGTGCGGGTACAGGGAGGACGCAAGGGGTATTTTTATTCACAGATGACGCCCAGTGTCTGAATAATGCACAGACAAGGCTCCTTGTCTCACTGGGGTGAGGCCGATCTTTATTGTCTTTTGCTTGTTTAAGCGGCAAAGAGATTCTTACCCACCATAAACCAGTTAACCTTGTACGTAGTTAAATTACCTAACGGGGTCGTTTCAGGTCAGCATTTATGACAGGTAATGTATGTGTGAACTTCATGCTGATACACATCATGCAGTGTTTTTTAATTTTTTTTATTATCTTGATGTGTTGTGTTATTTCACCAAGTATGTGTTTTGCTATATATGAAATTTCAGATTTTTATAAGCTTTTTAGAAGCTGACTTAATATTTGTTTTGTTTGTCTTTATTTAAAGTTTCAATTGCTAGACATCCAGTGTGAATTGTTTAGGTTTTTTATGCTCTTGTATGTATGAGATATTTGACTAGCTTTTGAATGCTTATGAAATACAAATTTTATTTGAACTTTCACAATCCTTTTGAAAAGTTATGTAGAATTGTGGTCTGTTATGAAGACATATAAAGCATCTATTTTTGCGTCCTTGTGCGGTGCAGGACTGAGGGCTGAAGGCACTAGAAGTTACCAGCTACTGTTTGGCCAAAAAGTATAATTCTAATGCTAAAGTAATCTTTGAGCTTTTTGAACACACTTTGAATTGGCTGTCTGAACAAGGTTTAGTTTTATAACGTCTGGGGGACGGTGGACGTTTGTGAAACATTTTTGAATTGATCAAATTAAAGACTGATGCTGGGAGATGGGCTGCTGCAAGCTAGCATCACTATCGGTAATCAGAGAGCTCATCTCATTATTCTCTCATTGCACTCCTCAAAGGGCCTTCTTCCACTTGTTCTTATCTGCTGAGAGTCTGTCGACAATGAGTGAGGCTTTCTTGGTTTCCTTGACAGTAATGTGGAATCCAATTGCTGTAAGTTTATGCTCTCGCCCCCATTTGCTATTGTGGAGCTCGACCTCCAGCAGGAGGAGGAGTCCTTGACATACTTACCTTAGTGCGATCGTTCAGAGATATGCTGGGAGGTAGAGCTGAAAAAGAAAATCCTGGGTGGGTTGTCATGTCTTTTTGCCTCAGCAGAGGCAGAAGAGGGAAGTGGAAGCTGTGGTGGACTGGTGGTGGAGTGTGCAGGGCAGTGTCTGGGAGAGCTGGTCATCTGATAACAGAGCGGGTTCTGTTACACCATCACCAGAGTCACGCAGGAAGTCTTCTTCCGCCCAACCAGCCAGCCTGCCGCAGCAGCAAAAGACATGGACTGTGGCCTGAGCGCAAGGGCACTGGAAGGGCTGGAGTAGCACTGCCGCCATTACTCAATTTTGTTTCTATTTCATGTGTTGGTTTTCTTGCTCTTTCCTTATTTCCTGGCCCAGCCACAGTTTGTCCGAAAGACTCCGAAGTTGTGGGCAGCTCAAAGACAGATGCAGGGAGTTAGGCCTGGAAAAGTTTGGTCAAACTATGAGGGGGAGTCGTGGCATTTTCACACGTGGGCTTCATTCTAACATGGGACTCTAACAAAGCTGCTGCTGGTCTAGAAAGATTGTAGGCACGTTGTTGCTTTTGAAACTGAGTTTCTTGCCTTATCTGCTCTACTATTTGCTGTATGCTCTTTTCCTATCTGATATATTTCTGCAACTAAGACCTTTAATTTCTCACCATAAAGAGTAAGTAGTTTGCTTGTACTATTGACCCTATGACATAAGATTTTTCCTCAAAGAGGGACGTAATTTTGTGTCTACAGAAGGTTCCAGCAACTAAAGTGAGGTGAAATAAAAAATTTCGCTAGTGTGCACTTGTTTATAGCAGCCTCACCCAATACCTTTTGGGGGGCATTGTGAATACAAGTCTGGATTTTTGGCAGCCTACTGACATATCTCCAGTGAAACAGCCCAGCACTACAACTCCAGTTTTATCAGTTGTTCCCCCACTTCCTGCTTGCACTTTTTGTGACCAATCATGCTTCCCTAACCAGTGCTGGCAGGAGTGACTCATTTGTAGGGCCTTGCTCAAAATCATGTTCTTCTTGGAACCAGTCAGCCCCTCTCCATACTGTTTACGATTATCCGGTAATATCCTCTCTGCCTTGACCTTGAACCCTGTCAACCTAGTGTAGTGACTCCACTTCCCTCCCTTATGAGGCAGGAGGAGCTAATCACACAAACACACACACTAGCTTGTACATACATACTGAGTGGACATGCATGTCAGAGGGATGCCCTGTGTACATAAGTCACATGTTTGTCATTAATCCTCTCAAAAGTTTCTTTCGAAGGATTCCCAAGCTCTTGAGAAATACACAGTGAAAGGTGTGACTGACAAAGAAAGAAAGTTAATAGAAAGACACCAAAGTGTTCCTTAAAACCCTGCTGCTTGTTTTGGTTTATGTCATAAGTCAATGTGTGTTCTTGGAATGTGTAACATGTGCTTGCCTGAGATGTTTCATTCTGAGTTGTCAGTTTTCGGTTCATATAATGAGCAAGTAAATTTACCGTTTGGTGTCTTTTGCTGGATAAGCGTTGTTTTAGAGTTAAGAACTTAATCACAAAACACATTAAATACCCTTGACACAATTTGATTGACAGTAGTTACCTCATGATTCTTGTAAAAAGATTTGACTGTGTTGGCGGTGTTATTTCCAACTGATTACACAATTCTGAACTATTTCTGAACTAGTTATATTGTAACCTTACATACCAATATGTAATGTGCTAGTTGAACTTCTAAACTCATTTAGTTTACACTTGACCAGATAAATTAAAACAATTTAAATACTCGTTAAGACAGTTTGACAGTATCTGAAATCTATTTTCGATAGCCTCACTTCACATTGGCTGGGAGGGGCTGGGGTGGGATGAGTATTCGCAGTAACTTGTGGTTTGACTTGCAAAGTAGTTGAGGCCTGTGCATGCGGCCATCAGAAGAGGTCGGAAATGAGACGTTGGGGCCGTTGCACGGCCCCTGTCACCCATAGCCATGAATAAGTGATGAAGAATGTTGGGAGCCCTGAGAAGGTGTCAGGATCAGGTTTGTTTGCACTGTTTCCTCTTTCTTTCAGCTTTGCCCTGGGTTTATTCAGGGACAGAGATGCTGCTTAACTGGTGCCTTGCTATTACCCACAAGCTGAAGTGCAGAGAGATGACATTTGGTTTTAAGTGTCCATTCTAAGAAACCCCCTTATGATAGCAAAACTACTCTTGCTCTCTCTGAAATTCTTTTTTTTTTTTTTTAAGAATTTATGATTTTATGGGTTTTTCCAGGTGTGGCACAGGTTCCCTGTGAATCAAGGTAAATTGATCTGAAAAGGTATATTTTATTGTTTAATAAGACCAAAATTCTGTTATCTACTCACTCGCATACGCATTTACGCACCCTCATGGGGGGTCATGAGGAACCAGACCTGGAAACACTTGTTGTCTAACCCAACCTCCAGCCTGGCTTCTACCTTAACTTATTCAAATTCTCTGCAATAAAACAATGAGATAGAATGCACTTGTTAGTCAAGCAGATGGGGTGGGGGTTATTAGAGAGACAACAGAAAACCAAAGAGTTTGCCCTACAGGTGACCATCACTTAGCTCAAAGATGAAGGGAAAGACCGAACGAGAAGGGCTTAAGCGATTGGCTTATGGGCATTACCATCTAACTTAAACAAGTCAAGACGTGGTCCAGTGGGGGACTATTATTGGAATGGCTCCTTTGAAGTGTGCTATATAGAATTGTGTAGTGCATATGTGCCCTAGATTATGGTATTTTCATCATATTCTGTCACTGAACTCTAACTGTATTTGCAAAAGTCAGATGGCATGAAAAAATGACACACAAAAGGTGAGCCTGATTGCCATCCACAGTAATAATGCAAGCAAGACTAGTCGTGGGGGTCGAATTTGCTGCTGTGTTTTATCTTCCCACTACCTCTCAATTGCTATACCAATAGTGACCTGACTTGGTGCCAGCTCTCAAGGTGTGGAGGAAGGCAGCTTTGTGCAAGCGTGAGAGAGCGAGAGAGAGAGAGCAAGCAGCCAGGTTTAGCAGGTCTTGCTTACATACCAAGGGGCTTGATCTGAAGGAATGTCATTTGAATGCATTGCTCTTATTGAGTATAATTCCCCTGTGGCCTCACCCCCTGCTGGGTCACTCTGGCAGATGGAGGGGCGGGGGGTAGTTAGGCTGTTTGGTGTTCTCGCGTAAGCGTGTGTTTGCCAATGGACAAATCCAGGAGGGTTGCCTTTCAGAGCCCCCCTCCCTCTACCCTCGCCTGTACTGCGGTCGATCATTTTAATCTCCCCTCACACGTGATCAAGGGGACAGGCCTTTCCTGAAACTTGGCACGCAGTGCAGGGTGGGGTAACCGGCTCAGACCGGATTGACAACCTCCCTATTTAATACTGTTCCCTTGCAGCCCTGCGTGTGTCCTCCTACTCTTCCTCCTCCTGTAGTGAATTTTTTTTCCACTCGGGCCTTTAGCCGGCAACCCCCTTCCCCAGAAGCCAACTGACACACAATTCAGTGCACATGATGCCCAGCCTATTCTATGTGCTGTGCACTCCCCCACCCCAGCAAAGCTGCACAGTACAGATTCTCCTTTTCCACTGCCATCATGACAGCAGGCTTGCCACCCTCTGACATGCTGCTACATTGTAATGCACCCTGAACTGATTGCTGTAAACTAGAAGGCTGTTTAAAGTGCTTTTCAAGACAGATTAAAGTCTCAACTGTCACAGGTTGAAGTCAAACAACATCTTTTTGACAGCATCACCAGATGTTGTACATAACCTGTAGATTGTTTGATTGTTATAAAGACCACTTTAAAGCAACATTTTGGCACCATCAAATAGATAACGTTAGGCAAACGTTTTTAATAGTGAAAAAGAAACTGAGAAGGTGAACTGAACTATCTGTTCTTTAATAGTACATGGTGTTAAAAAACATGTCATTATAATATGCATAATACCTTTTCTTCATTTCAATAATTACACCAATTCCCCATGGACTTTAAAATAAGTCTGGCAACCAGCACATTGTGTATTTGCAGCCATGACTTGTCAGAATATCCCTTTATAACGTGATGCTTCCATTTGTGGTTTGGATAATCTTGACCAGTGGTCTTTATTATAGCAGCAACCATTTGGCCACTATCTATTAGCCTCTCTGCTTCATTTGCATACAGGGCTTGGCAATGCTACCCTGGACGGTAATAGAGTGCAACAAGAATGGACAGCATAAATATGGTCCAAACCTAAAGTATTAGTATAGTACAGTATTAAGCATAGTATAGTATTAAGCAGCAGCATGAATTGACCATTCGCAAAGAGCTTGATTGACAGGCGATCTGACCAATCAGAACGCGGATATTATGTGCTGCCACTACTATCTGCCATCTTGTCCAACATCTACGGCCGGTCTCCATAGAAATCCATGTTAAAATGTGGTAAAAAAAAAAACAACTGAACTGAAACTTTTTCAATATAACTAAATATAAATATGTGCGGAGGGTTAAGCTGTGCTGTTGTTGGCTGCCACAGTAACGGTAGTAAGCTAAGGCATTCCTTTAAAGTACTTGTTTTGTGTACCAGAAAATCTGTCATGTCCGGCGCTGTATGCATGGCTTGCAGCGCTTAAGTTAAAATACTGAGTGTGAAATAATAAAATGTTAAAATGTGTGCTCTTATCATTCTGTGGACAAAATCCTGTGAACTTTGCCCGATCGGGAGCTGTATATACACATGTGCTCATCTGTTTTCAGTGCAGCTAACCTTGCGTTGCTTCATGTCATCTTCCCACTCATTAAACTATGACAGGTCCTTAACTGCAAAAAGACGGTCATTGCGACACTGTAAAGTGATGAAACTATGGCGCCATGTGCTTTTTTTTATACCATTTTCATAGGTTTCACGTTATATTGTTGGCTCGGAAAATATGTAAGTGTACATGCCCAGTAGCCGCAGCTGTATCCTTTCTAGCCTTAACCACAAATCAGACAGGAGAGTAGATTAACTTCGGTGGACTTAATCTTGAAAAATTGTGTGTGAGGGTTAAGCTGTGCTGTTGTTGGCTGCCACAGTAACGGTAGTAAGCTAAGGCATTCCTTTAAAGTACTTGTTTTGTGTACCAGAAAATCTGTCATGTCCGGCGCTGTATGCATGGCTTGCAGCGCTTAAATTAAAATACTGAGTGTGAAATAATAAAATGTTAAAATGTGTGCTCTTATCATTCTGTGGACAAAATCCTGTGAACTTTGCCCGATCGGGAGCTGTATATACACATGTGCTCATCTGTTTTCAGTGCAGCTAACCTTGCGTTGCTTCATGTCATCTTCCCACTCATTAAACTATGACAGGTCCTTAACTGCAAAAAGACGGTCATTGCGACACTGTAAAGTGATGAAACTATGGCGCCATGTGCTTTTTTTTATACCATTTTCATAGGTTTCACGTTATATTGTTGGCTCGGAAAATATGTAAGTGTACATGCCCAGTAGCCGCAGCTGTATCCTTTCTAGCCTTAACCACAAATCAGACAGGAGAGTAGATTAACTTCGGTGGACTTAATCTTGAAAAATTGTGTGTTCCACGGTTGACATAAAATACTTTGTTCATTTCGTGCTTTACGTAAATATGAAAAGACTATCGGTTCACGTGTTTGAACTGAGGCAATACAGTGATCTGTCACGACACATTGAAGAACCACAAAACAGTATTTATTGTTTGAATTTCTTTAAAAATGACAAAATTTGAGTCCGGAGACCTTGTTTCATATCAGAAGTAACCTGCTCTGTATTGTCTGTCGGCGTGTTGTCATTTTTCTCTTTGCTCTGCGATGTATTTTTCACTGCATGAGAACATGATGTGTAGTGTGAGAGCGCCATTGTTTGTCAGAGATAGCAACAGTAACTAAGGAGGGCGGGTCTTTGTGAACGGTCAATTGAGCTCTTCAGGTCATTTGTGAAAAAGTTTTGATTGGCGAGTTTGAAAAAATACTTGAAAAATGTTTCTCCCTACTTTGTAGTAGTTTTATGTAAAACATTTTGCCTCAATTTAGTATCAATAACATTTATTTATTCTATGTCATTTTATGATTAGTAACTGTTATTGTTCCTCAACATTCTTAGACAGGCAGACAGACAGACGGCAGGACGGACGGACGGGTGGCGGCTGCGATTGGCGGCTCGGCGGCAGGCTGGTGGAAAATGTCGTCGGGAGCAGGTGGGCGGGGAAGACGTGAGGCAAGGGCCTGTGGGGGTGCAGGCGAGGTAGAGGAAGGACCAGTGGGCATCCCCTTTCCCGAGCACAGTGCTGACCTGCTGGGCAGTCTCAATCGACAACGGTTGAGTGGGCTGCTGTGTGACGTGCTACTAGTGGCTCAAGAGAGAGAATTCCCTGCCCACCGCTCCGTGTTGGCTTCCTGCAGCACCTACTTCCACAAGCTTTTCACCTCGGGCCTGGCTGCTGACCGCCAGAAAGTCTATGCGCTGGACTTTGTGCGGCCTGAGGCGCTGGCCGCCCTCTTAGACTTTGCCTACACGGCCACACTCACAGTCAGCCGCAACAGTGTGGTTGACATCTTAAGCGCCGCCCGTGTGCTGGAGATCTCACCCGTTCAAGACGTCTGCACACACCTGCTGGACACCAAAGTGCTCTCCCCGCTGGTGGGTAATATGTTTTTTACAAGTTGACTAATGAATGTTTCGGAGCGATATGATGATGTAGTCCCATTTCTTTTTGCAGGCGGGCAGTGAGCAAGAAGAAGACCAGGAAGAGGAGGAGCGAGGTAAGAATGGAAAAGAGCAGGGCATCCGGCTGCGTGCCCGTGAGTACTTGGAGTTCTTCCAGAGGGGGGCGCATTGGGGTAGCAGCTGCAGCACGCCAGAGCTCAGGGACCTGCCCGCACACCTGCACTTTAGCCAACGCAATGGCGCTGACAGCAATGGCATGCCCATCAGCCCTGCTGACTACTACTCCTCACTGGCCCAAGCCCTATCACAGCCGCCTCGTGACCCCGAAGACGAGAATGTGGATGAGGAGTGCCAGGATGGACCTTCAGTTCTAGCTCGAGGGAAAAGTGTAGAGGCTATGATGTCCCTTTATGCTCCTACTCAGAATGGACATTACTACCTGCCCAAATCAGAGAGAGAGGTGGAGGGGACAGATGAGCGGGAGCACGAACAAGGCCCAGCTAGTGCTTTGCTACAACAGATGATGGACTCCTTGGAGCGTAAAAGGGAACAGGCCACGGAAGTTGGTGGGGGTGAGGAGGATGGGCCGGAGGGCGAAGAGCCAGACGTGGAGTTTTACTTGAAGTACTTTAATAGTGTGCAGCATGAGGAAGCCACCAGTGCCCCCATGTCTCCAAGTTTGCTACCACTGTGGTCATTAAGGGGCAACGGAGGTGGAAACCAAGCGACTGGAGGGGGTAACAACAGTGAGAGGAAGATGCGCTCTAAGGCCTTCCAGAAGTGCCCTATCTGCTCCAAAGTCATCCAAGGTGCAGGCAAGCTTCCACGCCACATCCGTACACACACAGGAGAAAAGCCCTACGAGTGCACCATCTGCAAAGTGCGATTCACCAGGTAAGCCTTTTTTTTGTAATTTTGGTTTTGTCTTTGGGAAAATTGAGTTCAGTTTGTATTTTTACATACACTTTAGCATCTTGTGTGCTATCAAATTTACATGGTCAGGTATTCAGTACACTAAAGAGAGCACAGTCAGCCATAAAGTTGTGTTTTATGTTGACAGAAAGGCTGCATGACAAAGTCCTGGAATTTTAACAAGAGGGGTCCAATAAAAGTGGGTTGTGGTAGCACAGCCTGATCTACTGTTATCAGGGATGAGGCTGTTATAAAACTCTCCATGCCGATATTGAAAGGGATTACAGCACGGTGGCCTATCTACGCCAGTGTGTCAGCTGAACTTGTGACCCTGGGTGTTACGTTGATTATTGCCCCTGGCAAATACAGCCCCTCTTTCAGACAAATGGCTGATGAAAAATACTGTGTGAATCTCTCTTAGCAAACTGCTAGCATGGCTTACTCTGCACTTAAGGGCATCACCTCTTCCATGAAACCATCGCCTTAATGAATTAATCAGGAGACACGCATTGGAAATAGACACTGCGGCAAAAATATCCAGTACCCTATTTGCGTAGAGATGGATCTAAATTTTCCACCTAAATACGCCACCTATTGGGAAGGGGTACTGTAATCTTAATCCTGTTTGATCAGGGTTAAGAGTGCGTTTCACTCACACTGAAATAAGTCAATCCTATCTTGTAAATAATTCATCTCTCTGTACCCCACTCTGTAACATTGTGTGTATGTGTGTGAAAACACGTTTTCTAACAGGCGTGTATGTATATACCTTCCGTATTTTGGTGAATGTATGCAAAAGTGAAGAAAAGATGAGAAATTATGAGTGAAAGAATACATTCAAACATGTTTAAATACACAAGTAGGCATCAACGTGTGCACATGTCTGTGTTTACATACTCAGGTGTGTGTCTGTCCATGGACGCATATGAGTGCGAATGTGTTCGGTAAGCCTCCAGTATTCTGGATGGGTCAACCACCCTAGTTTGTTTAGTTGTACTCTGCCCCGGTCACAAGCTTAGGGGGAGGGACGGAGAAGGGTAAGCTGAGAGCAGAGTCTTACAACAGAGGGCCTTGCATTTGACACCACACTATACGTAGCTCCCTTATTGGTGCAAAACAATACATTCTGACAGTATGCTGTCTCTTGTTGAAGAAAGCCTACTCTTTAGCCATTTAGACCAGTTTGCCTCAGGTGGTGTGTCTGAAATGTATATAAACTGATGACCAGCACAAAAGTAAATTTTGTTAGATTAACATTTAAGAAATATAGAGTAAAATTTGGTTACAGATTTTGTACAGTGTTAATGGTGCTTTGAAATGGTTGGAGGACAATTGAGGAAAGACATTAAAGATTAAACCACATTCTTCCAAACCTGTTCCTCAACCCAGCACACCTTTTGATTTTCAATCTTACACTGGTTTCTTCCCAGAAACTAAAATCTCTCCTCAGTTGAACTTCGCTCAGCTGCCACTGAAGATTTTACATTTTGCTTGTAAAACAAGAGTAATTTTGCTCTTATAACATGTTCACCATTTTTAAATGGCTCTTTTGGGAAACTTAGGGCCCACTATGACTCTGAACTGAACATTGAGCCCTTCAGTGCCTCATTGGCCTAAAAAGAAATTATGGTGATAAAGCTGTGAGCTTTATGGCTCTTTTCCTCATACGACCTTGGGTGCTTTCAGCACAGAAGAATGATAAATAAACTTGACTTTAAAGTAAAGATAAGGAGGTCAGACTCCTTTTGCGGATACATGTTGTCTTTGATGTGCAAGAACAGACAGATATATGTATTTACATCGTTAGATTTTTGTGTTTATGTGTAGTTTATGTGTAGTTTATATAATATATGTGTGCATGCATGTTTGCCTTTGCTAATGATCTGTGTGGCCAACCTTACCGGTATGTCTTGTAATTCAACATCAGGCAGTAGTTAGTGACTCACCCAACTATCATAAATGGTCTTTCTGGCACATCAAGTAATTTGGGAGTGGGCATTTTAAGGAATTATAAGTGTATTAAGTTAGCATGTATTCATGTATCATGGTGATGTTTTGTTAATTTCCTAACCTTGAATTACTGTTGAGTCTGTCATTGTTAGTTCGGTTGCCCTTAATTTTACAGTACATAAACTTATCTGTACTTACAGTGTACTTACCTAAGTAAGTACTGGATAATATAAAGTAACTACGTGGGTTAGGATTAGTAGGTTTAGAAATAGGTTCAGGGTTAGTACCAAGTTATTGAAATTACTATAACAAGTACATATTACATGCGGAACAGGACTGTAAAACAAAGGGCTACTGTTAATTTGTTTAATTCACACAAACCCATGGGTAGCGGCTCATCAGAAGTTTTTGTATTCTCTTTTCCAGGCAGGACAAGTTAAAGGTTCACATGCGCAAGCATACAGGAGAGAAGCCTTACCCGTGTACTCAGTGTGGTGCCGCCTTTGCCCACAACTACGACCTGAAGAATCACATGCGTGTGCACACAGGCTTGCGCCCCTACCAGTGCTCCAGCTGTTTTAAAACCTTTGTGCGCTCAGACCACCTCCACCGGCATCTCAAGAAAGATGGCTGCAACGGCATCCCTTCCCGTCGAGGCCGCAAGCCACGCATACGAGATTCTGAGCTCCTGGAAGGTCCTATGGAACTTCATGGCCCAGAAGCAGACATCGAGAGAGGTCAGCGGCATCCGGACAGGGGCACCGGAACATCAGTCATGGAGGAAAATCATGGTAGTCACACACACAGTCCAGTTGCCGATGGGGAAGGTAGTGAAGATTTGACCTCGGGACAAAGGAACTCCGCGACAACATGAATCAATCTTCATCAGAGAGGGCTTTACTCAACAACAAGAGGAAGAATGAAACAGAAAAATAATAAGAAAAAACAACAACTTAAAACTACATGGTCCTCTTTAAAAAAACAAATCAGGGTGTCACGCAAATCTAATCTTCTAGTTTCTTTTTCCTCCTTTTTTAGCTTCTGCATTCCACATAGAGACTTAACCACCAAGTTACTGGTCTGTTGGAAGAGCGAAGAGCACTTCAAATCACTCACCCGTGCTGTCACCATCTTTCTGGGTCTTTTTGTTGGTGTTTTTTGTAACATAATGGCATAGTCATGTGCGTACGAGAAAAAGCTACTATGCAGTTTAAACAAGTTCCTCATCTCTGGGTTGCATCTACAGGGCCTTGTCTTAAAGTAAGGTGTCAAACACCAGGCTGACTGCTGCTTCAACAGGTTAGCTTTGAATGGTCTAAGATGTGATCAAGGCAACCAATAGATCTCTTTTTCTAATGCAATGAGCAACATGTACATACACTATAAAAAATATATTGTCTCAGATTGCAATATATACAATATTCTGATGCAGCACCTTTTTTCTAAATGTTCCAGAAAGAATCGGACAGGGGTTTGATTTAAAGTGTTACTTTCTCTATAAAAGGTGTTTTTTGAGAGTTTAGCCTTTCATGGTGTAACCGGTTACCGTTTTGAGTTTAATCTACATGGGGAGATTTCGTTCATTTGTTTCTGGCAGGGAGAGGGTAAGACAAGGGATGAGGTCCTGTGCTTCTAAAGCACTACCTTCATCTGATCGCCACTGGGCACAATCATGTTAAATCTTACCTCTCACAACCCTGCTTTTCCTTATTGGCAGTCTTACTTGCATAATATTCTCTCTGATTTTTGGGATTGTCTTAATATTTTGTCATTTGATTTTTCTTGACCTTTGAGTTGACTGTTTTGGGTACTTGACAATTTACATTTGTATACGTGTGTATATATTAGGTTGTAATCTTATGAGACCCTTTATAAGACATATATTGCAGATAGATAGATAGGGTTACATCTTCCTTCAGCTTCACTCCAGGTTTCTCACTGCGTTAGGTTGTCAGGGGGAAATATGCTGTTTGATATTTTAGAGCATTATAATTGAGAAACCCATTTTTTTCCTAAGCTGCACTTAATGGAACCCAGAAGTTTCAGCCCAAAGTATGAATTGTGATAAATGTGCTTCATTTTGAGTCTTTCTGCAGGCGAGTGAAACTGTATGCAACAGATGAGTGAGGGCACCACTGTTATACAAACAGCTGGTGAACAACTTAAGCAGGGAATCTTTTATTTGTTTGTTTGTTTCAGTGACAGAAGGAAAGATGAAGAGCGAGCACCTTTTTATGCATTTGCACAGCTTTACTGAAGATATCCAACAGAGATGGAGAAATATCTGTTTAAGGAGGCAGTTTGGGTTAGGGAGATACAAAGTGCTTATTCAATTTCTTTCCCAAGGGACCACAGAAAAAAAAGAACAATAAATAAGATGAGCAATAAATTGATGTCCAATTCCAAATAAGCACACAGCTGTAGCCGAGTAAGAGGGAGGGTCCGGTTTTTAGTGTGCGAAATGTGAGCACCATTAATGAATGCAATGTATATAGATACAAAATGAGATCAGTTATACAAACTTTTTTTACAATGCAAATGACTGGCCGAAGTTTTTAAAGAAAGTGTCCTGAAAACTGAGACCTTTATTTTAAAGTAATATGTGCTTCCTTGTGCTGGAGAGAGAAGGTGCAGCAACGTCCTATGGCCACATCAGAGCAGGATGACTCACTGAGAGGGGCCTGGAGCGTCAGCAGGCACTTTGTGGGCACGTTGAGACAGGCTCTCCCCAAAATCCAGCAGAGTGGGTGCTTTGGTTAAGTTAGGACTCTCGTTTAAATAAGGCATGTATGAGGACAAGACTTGACTAAGGCAGAGCCTTTTATAAACGATGAAGTGGCACATTTGAAAGAAAATTTCTAAGCGTATGCATTCTAAAAGCAGTTTGTGATCCTTGCTAAATCTTTCAAGTGGCTCTCAAGTGTATACAGTGGCTGTGGTTACAGCTATGGATGCACAGTTTTGTTTCAGGCTGAATTAGAGGATGTAATTTTGTGGCACTGTTCCTTCTGCAGTGCTGTACCCTGTTTATCGGCCTTTTGCACCTTAATAAGAAAGAAGCAAGATTTGAATGCACTTTGTTACTGAGAGGGGCACTTTTTAGTTAAAAGAAACGGGTACTTTTAAACAAAAGAGCAAATGTGCTAAGCAAAAAGTCCCATCCAAGTGGTGATACTTAGTAGTTTAAAAAAAAAAAAAATTATTATTATTTTGACTTGTTCATTTTGTTTAGGTCTTGACACAGAGCTTCCAAAAAGTGCAGTCACTAAAGAGAAAGAAAAGGGTGAGGATTTTTATTGATTTAAATTGTTTATGAAAGCGTAACAAAGAATAGTAATGGAGATATATCATATCTTTCATATATATATATATATATATATATATATATATATATATATATACATACACACACACACACACACATGAAAGCATAATGATTAATTGCACTTGAAGTTGATTTAAAAAGTTCTCTATTTTGTCTTAATACAGAAGAGAGTAAAGATGTGAAAGCATCTGCAGGGATTTATGATAATTATCTACAACTACATACTCCTCCTGTGTAGTTTCTGTCAGTGCATTGTGATATGTTGAGTTTTGGTGGTCAAGTGTAGTGTTCACTTAAAATTTGTTGTTGAAGGCCACACCCTAAGCATCACACTACTGTACATTACAAAGAAAGATTTTGTGTGACTGGACGACACGGCAGAATTAATCCTTCTGGAAATTCCAGTGTGTGAGCTTGTGCTTTTTCACACCCCAAAACGCTCAGTTAATAATACATCACATCACATGCCTGCAAGGGTGTGTGGTAACACACTGACCTAGACCATCTCTTATCAACTGTTTCACTCTTTGCCTGTGTTCATCCCATACGAAGTTCATGGTAGCTTTTAGATTTGTTTCCGAGATGTATATGTACCTATGCCACGGCCCAAATTTATTCTCTCTCATTGTAGAAGCAGAAGTTGGAGTATAATTGTTGTAGAAAAAGCTTACTTGAGTTCCCTTTCTGTCTATTTTGTTTTCTGTGATATTAAGCGTGAGAGTTTCAAATTTGCAATGCTTTCTTTTTTTTATTGTAAAATGTGTTGCTGCAGCTTGTTTGTTTTCTAGCAAAGATAATGCTAGCTGTGTTTGTGGGGTTTTGGGTGAAATGGTGGTGGATAATAGGGAGGGTTAGGTGCGTGGGAGGGGAAGGGAGGTACAAAGCCTGATAGCACTGGAAATGGTGCTTTAGCTGAGAAAGAGTTTTTGCACTAAATGTCACTCATGTCCTTGTCCTTGGAGGAGGGGGACTGTAGAACCGGGCAAGGCCTTTGAGTTTCTGTGAACACAGAGTCTGTTTAATCTCCACTTCACTTCCCAATACTTGCATCTGCAATTAACTCTTTGAAAACCAAAGTAGGGAAAGACTAGAATTACTTGAAGACTATTCTTGGCCATTACAAGAAAGAGGTGAACCTTACATTTTCAACAACGGGCTAAACAAAACCAATTCCTAGACGACCGTAGGTCAAGAGTCCAAAGCAACTCCAACAGAAATAAGCAGCTTGAGGAAAGACAGTATTCATGGAATGGCTTATTTCCAACAGTTAACCGGATCAAACCCTAAGCATCTGTGTCTGCGTAGAAGTTTGGTGGAGTTAGAGGTTTTTGTGAGTTCACACAGACTCATTGGCTTGATCTGGAGGTGGGCGTATGCTTTGTTCAGTGGGTCCAAAAGGAGTCGGGGCAGAGTCTTGAAGCTTGACAATTGGAGAAGGATTCTGGAGAGAATGTGCCTTAACTTAAGAGGAGATTAAGAAGATTCTTCAAAAGATGGCTTCCATTCCAGCTTCTCAAATGATTCTTGAATACTTGTTGGTTGAAACTATGTTCTGTTGTGGACATTTCTAAGAACCAAAAGGTTAAATAAGATCGTTGTCCAGAGATTGTCTAATACACCTCAATTTGTAAATACAACTAGTTATAATTTTCTCCTGGAAAAAAGTTGATTGCAGTGAGAAGATTCTGTCATCTTCCATTTAGCGCTGTTTATTGCTTCCGCCCCAATCTTGGCTCCACTGACAGACACTACAGCGAGAAAGTGTCTCAAAAAACCATTTCCATAATTTTAAAAGCACCATGTATGTAATATCCAAATATTAATCTATTTGTGTCTTTATTTGTTTAATTTATTGGACAGGATGTCAAAAAGCATTAAAGATTACAATGACAGTGATAACCGTAATAATCATGGAAGATAATCTTATTACAATTTTAGATGTTATGGCTGGGTTGAAGCACAACTAGCTGAGGATGACATAATGCATGGCTAGATTCGCACAGTTGTTCTCACCTGATCCACTGCTGTTAGATGCCCAGCGGGCATGTTGCACAAGGAGTGTGCTCATGGGCGGTGGCTACTAGTTTGGGGAGGGTGGGTAGCATTTTTGTGCAGCTTGGGCAGGGGAACTATGTCTTATAAGGGGTTGTTTGGAGAGCCTTGTCAGGTATTGCTGTGCCATTCTGTGTACCTAAGGAATTTATAGCCATCTACATCTTTGACTGCCTCAGCTGGTTATGTTTCACTGATCAAGGAGATGTTCTGGAGAGCAGATGTCAGAGGTTGTGGTGGGAGGCAGGGGGATTTTGGGATTATGGGCCATTGTCTATGCTTCTCAGGTTAAATAATCAAGGCAGTCCATGTCCATTTTTGTTGTTTGGTTTAAGCTCAAATTTTGCCTTCTGTGTAATCAAAGCTTTATTGTACTGAGAGTACACCAACCGAATATATATTATGAGTATTGAAGATGATATCGAAAAGCCAACTACCCATGTGACCACAACACCCTCATTTTTGTTTCGCCTAATAACTGTACATTCTTTTCTAGTGTAGAAAACAATGGCAAAATGTCTTTTTTTTTAATGCATGTTTTAACATTATGGAACAGTGA